GTGGTATGGATTAAGAATTTTTGATAATCTGCTACTTGTGCAAAAAAGAATCAATTCTAACCTTTTGGCATTATTTTGACTAGTTGAAAAAAAATGGTTCCTTAAAAATTATTTTGGCATATTTTCTTCATTTTTAGGATGAATATCTTTTATTCTTGTAGGACCTCAAAATTATCTGAAGAGTTTTTCAAGATTTTTCAAAGGAAGGAAAGAAGGAGAAAGCAAGGAAAGAAAAGGCATCCTAAGATAAGTGTACTGCTAAAATGAAATAGGCATTCATAGAGAACTGATAGGAAGTCTAACAAAAACTAACTTTTGTTTTCTAATTCAATCAAGGGCATCCCAACTCTACATGCCACACATTTTACTGATTACTAGTGAAATGCCAGAAGATTAAAATCACTTGGATAAAAAAGGAAGGTTCTCTTAATTCAAAGCCCAGGATACAAAGTGAACCTGTGACATGACATCTCTTTGTACAGCCCAGCATTCCCTCATGCAGAGGTTAGAAGTCAGGGTGCATTTGGAATCACAAATACATCAGCCTGAGCCAATGGAGCATCCCTAAATAGCAGCAATCACCATGCACACTGTCATTACATTAATAATCACTTGCTAATGGGAGCAGTGACAACCAAGATGTGCACTTAGAGGCTCTGTTTACAGGCGGTCCCCAAAGCCTGAATGCCTGCTTTTCTGTGGGTTAGGTTCCAAAGGCCTCAAAGTACACGAGAAAAATCTGCTCGGTATTGTGAAATAAACCATCAAAAGAGGACTGGCTGAAAATTCCTCAGGAGTTTCTGCCCTAATGTCATGGATGGAAGAGTGGGCTAGCAGAATACTAAATTTGCTGTTCAAAGATGATCAAAGCATCAGAGTAAGGGGAGTAACATTAAAAAAAAATCAGTGGAGAAAAAGAAAGTAAATCTCTTTTAATAACCAACTGCCCTATTTTTGGTAGCTTTTGCTAATCACCACACATCAAAATAGAATAAAACAGAATAAAATGTGAAATACACACTGCACGTACAAAACATGGGACCAATCTGCGCCTTTCCATTAGTCATGTTTTATAAATATATGTGCGTGCAATGCAGATATAGTGACACACACTAAGACAATTGGAAGAAAATATTTTAGCAGAAGTAAATAACAAAAATATCTTACAAGCACAGATGAGGTATAAGTGTCATCACAAGTACAAGTATTTATTCTCCTTTAGAAGCAAAAAATAGACATTTCTTGAAAACAGTAGAGAGAAGTACTACAGCTCCTCTACGTCTGTGCAGCTAAGAAATAGTTATATTTATAAAAGCCCCAGCTTTTCTGAAGGTTAATACATCCAGCTATTTCAAATTTCATCAAATTAAGCTTTGACAGGCTATCTGACAGGACGGGGTGTCTTGCTAAGTGTCAAAAGGATAAAGCTCTGTCAAAAAAAATCTGATTTTTAAATGGGGAAATGAAACAAAGAAATAACCAAAAAATACTTTATAAATTAGGTTCTGTCTACTTAACTCTAGCTAAATGGTTCATTTAAAAGAAGGAACAGCTATCTCTACACTCAATAGCATTTTCTGGAATCAGTAAAATGCCTAATTTGTAAACAAGAACAGCAACCTTAGCACACGTTGCTCTGAAACAATTATGTTTAAGAAATTGCTACTCTCAGCTATGGTTGGGAAATGTTGCCTAAGTGTCACTATGCCTGAAAGCCCCATACTACGAATTACGTGTACTGCATGGATATTACATGGGCTGAGAATGGCATCCATGGGAGTTGCCTAAGTCAGATTTGCATTGTAACTCCTGATACAGATGTAGAGCTGATACAATGTCAACAGACCAAGTTGCCTCCCAGCTCCCTCTACAAAGAGTCTTGTGAGGACAACAATGCTTGTGCCGTTTTTGGCGGTAACAGGGTTTGCTCTCCTTTCTGACTCACATGCACCAGCAATGGAACTGAACTCCCCTTGAGGGGCAGGAAAGATGAAGAAGGCAGAATGAAAGTTGATCCCCAAGTTTCACCACTTTTCTATGGAAGATGACTAATTCTTGTTTTAATTTTATCCTACATAAGACATAGTAGAGAACGTCTATATCTTTAAAAGGCAATATCTCTGGTAATAACATTTGCATATTATTACCTGCCAAGTTTAGATCCCAAGATGTCACTTTTAAACTACTTTAATTTTTCTTTTCCTTTAACCACGAAGAAAACTAATGTTACTTCCCCGTCAGTCAATGAAACAGAGCAGAGATTCAAACTGTTCAATTTTCTGTGTAAGCCAGGTGAGGGTTCTGTTAGTGCCTGTCCATTATCACGCTTTTCTTACTAAATTAGTTAGTTAAGTTCTAAAATGAAATTTAAAAAAATGAAACATTGAGATTAAGATGGGGATCTTTTCTTTAAAACTTATGGAAAGTGAGAACTCTATTTTTTAAAAAATATAACACTTTTGAAAAGCCTTTGAGGCACTGTAAATGTAAAGGTGGACTGAATGGCTCCATCTATGAGAACCAGACCAGATATACATACTTTAATGAGTATATAACAGTTTTGATTTAAAAAATAAACACTGTCTACCTGTCCCCCACAAGTTTTTTTTTTTAAAGGGCCTCCTTAGCATTTTGCTCTGTTGGCTCTTAAAGTAATAAAACAATTAAACTTTCTTATCCTTTATAAAAACAGAGGAAACTCCTCTGCCCTAGTCTCTTAAAAACCCTAGCACTAATATTTCATACATAATATTTACTTAGATTAAACTCATCCACTTTTAATTCAAGTTGTTCCCTGACAGAGATTTTAGCACTAAAAAAAAAACTGAGAAAATGAGCAGGAAGGCTTTAAATGATCCCATTCTAAAATGTCCAAGACTCTATAGATTCCTAAATCTTATAAGGGAAAGTTGTGGGGGGTTGGCAGGGAGGTAAGGGAGAGGTATTTATAAATCTGGAATGAGGTAAAGCACACATTTCATTTATTGTCTGGATTACAGATTCTTATTAAACAAACCAGAGCTCATTATAAAATCAACATCAACTTAACCACCATGCCCCCAGGAGGAATGGCAAAAAGGTCACTCCAAGAAATTCAAACAATTTTCCTGCTGGAAGGGCACGATTTTAATTACAGATACTATTAATTAGAGCTGTCACTTGGAAGATTTTTTTTTCTGTTAATTATCACAAACTCAGCTTTAAGTATGCATTTTTTAACCTGCATTTTTTAAAAATTAGGCATTTCTGCATGCATGTTCAATCTTTCCATTTCATCAATTTTTGATATTTGAATTTCAAAACATATCAAAGGACGCCATGTTTCTTAACAACTATACATCAGCATGATCTCCTCTGTCTCCCATATAGAACAAAATTGGTGTGGTATTTTATTAATGTATTGACATTATTTGAGCTCTGGAAGACCTGGTTTCATATATTGATGATCTTTCTCAATGAAATTTCTTGATGAATCCAGTCTCTTTATGTGACATTTTTAAGGCTTCTTCTTCTAAAGTGATTTTCCTTCTGCTTTGAACTAGAGCTGAGAGCCACTTTACTGAAATGACATTTTCCATACTTTACCCCTTTATAGAGAAGAATTCAACGACTATGCTTATAACTACCTTAGAAGGATCTCTAGCTTTATTAAAAACAATGGCAAGGCTAAAAATTTTGAAATAAAAAGGAAATTTATCTTTTGGATACAGTTGAAAGACACTCAAATATTCGCATGTACAAACACACTAGCACACACACATATACATATATATCTCAGTGTGTTGAAAATGACATATCAGGTCCCATGTGACAGCTGCGGAGTTGGATTGGCTTATAGGGCTATAGACCCATTTGAAAGAAGTACATTTTGGAGCAACATGAGGATTCCATCTAAGGAGGAGTTACTGGAGGTGGGAAGGGGAGGGTCCTTTCTGAAGAAGGAAAGTAGCACCCTGCTCATATTTTTCAGTAGTAATCTTTACTAATTAATACCCAGTTTGATTATGATGATGGAATGATAACTAATTGATTAATTCATAATTTGGAACTATTTAAAAGGAATTCCGCTCTTAACGTCACCCAATGAAGCAAAGCATAAAATATGATGGGGAAAAATCACATGTATATCCATTTCAATGAAACTTTTAAAAATGCTGATGGAGCAAATTACTTTCCCAAATATGTAAATATACCTATTATATTTTATAGAAAATAAATCAAATGCCCTGACTTGCAACTATTCCGACCATAAGCTTCATGCTTATGTTCCTAGAGTAACAGAGTTGAATGCACAATTTCATTAAAGATCATTATTAATTGTGAAATATGTATGGCAAAGCCTCCAAAAAATATTGTGGGGTTTTTGTTTAATGCCCAATTGTTCTAAACCTGCCTTCTTCATATTCCCATTGGTTACTGATTTATTTCACAGATTTGCCTGTAATATTTCTGTATTACTCGCACACAGCTGCTACCATTGTTCTCATGGAGAATTCTTGGTTTACCTCCCATCTATCAGCATTATATTTCACTTTATTCGAATAATGGCAGAAGGTGGCAACAGATCGGGTCAAAGGAGCTTTTCATAGAAGACCTGGAGCAAGTTGATGATTTAAGAGACATCTTCAAATATCTACACAACCAATTTACCATGCATCTCCAGCACTTTTCATTCATAGTGGCCAAACTAAGAAAGATTATAGATAATACATAATTCATGGATTGTATTTTTTCCACATTTCTAATTAGCAACTAGCTTTCACAGCTAACAGGAGAATACCCAAGAACAAGCATAAGATTAATATAGAGCAGTAAAGCTGTAGTTATAATATATTTACATGAATACTAATGAGAAGTCTCACATCGTAGTCATCAAAGAAACTAACTATGAATACAGGAACAATTGCTGGGAGTGGGCAAGTGACTTAAACCACTCAACTAATCTGTTTAACTAGCTGATAAATTAAAAATGTGTAAGTGAAAAAAAAATCTTTTCTTACCTGGTAAGCAGCAGTGGCATCTGAGCCTGAATCAGCTCCTAGTGCTGAAAGCTTTTCCTTCAGCTTGTGATGAGAACTATGGCGGAGGCAATAGAGGACCCCTGAAGCTAGGAGGACTCCAACGATGCAAGCAATGGAGATCAGGGTGAGGATAATGAATTTAGTAGAGTCTTCTTGCTCTACTCCATGAGGCAAAAGCTTTAATTTACTTTTCTGCAGAAAAAAAGAAGAAAAAGTCTATCAATACTCAGTAAATCATGACTTCTTAAAACCAAACCAGAAAAAAAAAAGTTAGCATTCAAGGCAAAGTTAAATGCAAGCATAATGCAGAGTTAGCAGTAAAATATAATGAAGTGAAGGAGGGAAATGGAACTTCAAATGAGAAGAATGAAAAGTTGATTCCAAGTACTTTGTTACAGAGTTAAATATTTGAGAGAGGAAAATGAAATGCATAATTTTTAATGGTAGTATTATTTTTCAAGCTAAATAATCTTCAAGTGTTTGGCAGCTAATTTGTTCCATAAGTCAAATAAAGTGGCTGCTCACTTCTTTTAAACAGGTACGAGCAATTTGAGGCAATTTATCCAGCTCATGAACAGCAAATGTCTAGACTATTCAAATATAATCCTAGGGCTAAAACTAAGAACAAAAGTAAAACAACATATTCTGTACACAAGAGTATGTGGAAGTGATGTTATTAATTCTTTTTTATTAATATAGTTAACATGGGAAATCCTTATGACTCCATGATTTCACCTCCTGAAAAAGTGTTTTTCACTTAGTTTCAAAATTGTATTCGAAAGAAAACTCCTTCAAGTCATTGCTCCTTTTAGTTAATGAATACAAATTCTTGTGTCTTCCACCGATCTACTCAGACACTGCACATGTCTTTCCATTCTTAACTTTGCCTAGAAGGAATTAAAAGAAAAGCGGGTGGTGGTAGTCAGTCTTGAACTTCAATCTTCCACAGTGTTAAAAAAAAAAAAAAAGAAGCAACAGAAAGGTTCCCAACTTCTTCAGATTCTTTCTTTCTTTCTTTGGAGTGTGGGAAGTAGAAGATGGGGAGGTGGTAGTGGGAAAAGCAGAAATATGAGAGAATCCTTCTAGTGCATTTCACTTGTCTCCATGTGCTAAAAGTTGTACCATAATCTCCCCTCATTAGCTTCATTATAAGGTATATTAGCAACAATTAAAAACGCAACATGAAAATGAAAAGACCAGGCACGCAAATTGCAGCAAGACTCATTTGGCCAGCATTCCCCTTTCACAATTACCAGGGAAATGAATTGAAAAGCACGCCCCTGCCTCAGTCTTGGTTGCTACAAGATGAGAACAATTAACAAACTCCTTTCCACCACCTAATTTCGCGTGGTAACAAAATGGATTTTTCCCCATGAATGCCTAGCCGGCCTATTCATTATCTCTCTTCTATTAGTAATTTTCTGCTCCGTATTCAGCTAGCCAACTCTTAATTTCCTCCTGTCTTGCAGTGTACACAGTGCCTCTTATGTCAGGCCGGGTCCATTTTTATCTTGTAATCATAAAGGCCACCAAAGCAATTATCGCTGGTCTTGACTGGAAAAGCTGGTCATTAATTAGCCTCCTTTTGCCTTCAGTACAGCGGATTAGCCAGTACTGGGTCTGAGTTAATGGAAACGCGGGTTCAATGAGAAAAGACTCCCAGATTTTCTTGCCTGGATGCGCTGTTCGAAGGAGGATTGTTAGGCTCGTAAACCACGGGTGGTGGATTGAGGAGAGCGAGAGAGCTCGAAGGAGAAGGGTGGGGGTGCAGGAGCAAAGAAAGACAGTGGGAGTTTAGAGGGGTGCAGAGAGAAAGGGAAGAAGAGGGTGGGAGAAGAGAAGAAGGGAAGAGATGGAGAGAGGAAGAGCGGGAGAAGGGAAGAGATGGAGAGAGGAAGAGCGGGAGAGGGGGAGAGAGGGAGAGGGAAGGAGAGGGGGGGAGAGAGGGAGAGGGAAGGAGAGAGGGGAGAGAGAGAGAGAGAGAGAGAGAGAGAGAGAGAGAGAGAGAGAGAGAGAGAGAGAGAGAGAGAGAGAGAGAGAGAGAGAGAGAGAGAGAGAATTAAGCCAATGCTTTCAAGCTTGCAGCCCTCTCCTTCTCCGTTGCTGCCAGTGTTTACTGTACAAGACACCCACTCCCATATCTCCCAGTCCCCTCCTTCTCACCTCCCCGCCCCCAACCTCTTCCTTCCCCGGGACCCACAATCGCTTCCAGAAATGTCACTCCCAAGAGCGGACCAACCCACTACCCCAAACGCAGCAGCCTCGCTCTCTCCCCACCTTCTTCTCCGATTCCCCCATTCCTCTCCGTCCAGCCCTCCTCCGCCTTCCTGAAACTACACAGAGAAAGCCCAAACCAAATACATAAATAAGAGGTGTCCAACCACCCCCACACAATGCTGGACACACAGAAGGGCGGGGTGGGTGGGCTGGGGACTGGGAAGGTGGGGAAGGGGAGATTCCATAGCATCAGCCAAGCCAGTATCTTAATACGCCTAGCACCCAAGCCTCTTCAAAGCCTGAAGCCAGGCTGGGCTGGGCTTTGGCAGGCTCGGGGGCGTGGGCATGGGCGTGGGCAGGGGGAGCAGTCAAACTCCTCTTCCCTGAGAGCTCTGCTCCTCAGCTCAAGCAGCGGCGGCGGGGGTAGTAGTAGCGGCAGCAGCGATAGTGGCGGTGGCAGCAGCTGCAGCCGCCTCCTGGACTTTCTGTCTTCCTCCTCCTCCTCTTGCAGCTAGCGGCATTTGATTGTTCGGGTCTGCCCAGCGGTACATTTAAAGATGCAGGAGCTGAAGAGCTACCCTCCTCCCTCTTTTTCCACCGGCACCTGCCTGAGTCCCACTCTTAACACCTATGCAGGATAAAGTCTGCTGTAAATACAGAATAGGGAGTAGGGTTCCAGGAATGGGTCCCCCCCCCTTTCCAGAGTGGCTAGTGAAGTGGAAAGAAAGAACGGCTTCTCCACACCCCCAGCCCTGATACCCGCCATCCCTCCCTAGGGATCCTGGCCGTAGTTGCGCGAGCCTAGGTCCGGTGGGCAAGGAAAAGCAGCAGCCTTTGGCTGCCCTGGGGACCAAAGGAGATGTTAAAAGTCTCGTCTTCTCCCAGCTACGGTGCTCAGATTAGCATTTCTGTGAAAGGACTTTCTGTCCCGCTTTGGGTGAGAGGTCAAAATCTACATCTAAATGGAGGGATATTTTGAAAAATGATGGTTTCCCCTGAGTCACCCCTCCCCCACCCATCTTCCCTCTCTTTTTTCATCTCTTCTTCTGCCCCTTTCCTCTCCCTCCCCCAGTTAGGCTCTCTGTGTCACTAAATTCTGTGCATCGCCCTCCCTTGGACTGGCACCGGGATCCTAACGCCTTCTTCTCTGTGCCTCCAGCCCTCTGTTTGCTCAAAGCTTTTCCTAGCCGGCTTCCCATAGCCAACGGCCTGGAAAGTCAATACTATGAAAGGGAGATGCTGAACCCCACCAACTCCCTTATTCTGCATCTTCCCATGGCATTAATTCGTCCAATACATCTCTTCAATACTAGACTGACAAGGGGATCATAACAAAGGAAAACACATACGCCAATGGGTGGGGAAAGATACCCAGCTGCCCACCAACAAATAGAGATAGACACTGTAATGCATGCATGCACTAACCAAGAGATATCTGCACATGAATATGTAAAGGCTTCCAGGCACACAGATTTACCGATACGCTCGCAGTAATGAAGATATTATGAGCAAACATCCACGGATATCTGCACATTCGTACAATGCTGTTGTAAGTAGAAATATCTATAGATATTACACGCAGATTTTGTCCTGCACAGAAGTGGAAAGGGATTAGAAGTTCATGCCACTGTACATTTATCTGTCCCTATATGTATGTGTATATATATATGTATGTATACATATATCACAAACTTGCTTGCTAATAAACATTTCTTACTAGTCATGTTTATTTGCATGTCATATCATGCAAAGAAGTTCACACTTGGGGAAGATATGCACATACTACTATATCATATGCACGAGGTAACCCATCTATACAGATATACCCAGATTTTTCCAAGCATTGGAAAACCAAAGTTTAGCTGTCTTACTTAGCAGGATCTAATGTAGACTTAGCAGTGGAGGATGAATGTGAAAGGAATGTTACAATGAATCTAACCGATTTTAACCCTTTAAGCAACAAAAATAAAATAATAAATGGTGATTTTATAAAATTAAGGGGAAAGGCAAACGTAGTACAAGTGGGTTGCATTTTCACTGGTGCATGCTTTAAAAAACGCATTGGAACAGGATGTTGCCATCTTATCTTAAAAAGTAACATATTCATACCCTTCTGCCCCCTCTCCTAGCTCTGAAAGCACTGACACCTTTGCACTACTCAAAATACAATCCTGAATTTCTTTGGAGAGAAGGAAGGAGCCATGGGAGTTATGAGAGAGCTCCACAAATGTAACTTTTCAAAACTACCACAACCCGCTCTGAGTGGATCTTGGCATGCAGGCTAGTTACACTCATCTGAAAAGCTGGCCTTCGGCCTCTGATCCTTTACATTGGCTAACAACTGGCCCTTACTTACTAGAAAACAGCTTTTCTCCTCTATTCCACCATCTCTAGGTGGAGATTCAGGCTTCCAACTCTACTGAACGCTGGGGCCCGCCTGCTGCTGCTTGGGCACACAGAGAGAGCTTGGAATTTGTTTAAAAGGTCAAATAAAAATGTCAAGGATAGTAGTGCTGAAAAAACTCCTGGGACTCTCCTTCAGTGTGCCTCCTCCCACCTTCTCTGCCTCCCGTAACCCCTACCAGTTTCCTATGGCTTTGGAAAGAGAATAGAAAAGGGAAAGGGGAAAGGAAGGAGGAAAAGGAATATAATACCCTTTACATTTTCTTAAATCGCCCCCAGCTCCCTGCTATCTCCAAAGACCAGCTGTTCTGCCCTAGAAAGAACGTCAGTCCAGTGCTCCCTGTGGGTAGGGCCCAGCGATGCAGAAGACCTACAGCCCAGAAACAGACAAGTGTAGGCAATTTTGTCATTACAGAGAATGATACTTTTTTGGACAGTAGCATGACTTCAACTCTGTTTGGAGGACCCAAGGGGGGGAGAGGGAAGTGAGAAGGGAGGAAGGGAGGGGGAGGGAGAGAGAGAGAGGGAGAGAGAGAGAGAGAGAGAGAGAGAGAGAGAGAGAGAGAGAGAGA